AATATTTGAGCTTGATCAAATAAATTTTATGGCTATATATCAACACTAAATCCAAGAAAAATGTAAATAAAAATAATAATAAATTCCATATGCAACCAATTGTAATGCCACATACATCCAATCCCTTCTCAACCAATTCACTTTGATCTAATCAATTTTGAACCCTCACCACTCCTTTCTATGGTAGTATCACTTGACACCTTATCCATCAATATTGTTCCATGTAATGAAGAAGACAATCTCATCAAGCTCATTCATTTATAACTCAACAAGTTGCCTAAACTTTTTGAACAAAATCAAACTTTGGCCTTTTCTAACATTCCCTAGCCATAAGGGAATCAAGGGAACCCTCCACATGCTAATGGATTGTGATGGAGAATAAAGTAGAGAGAGAAGATAAATTACTCTTGTTGATAGATGAGTATATAATCTATTGTGTTGATGAACATAGACATGTGTGTTACATCAAGCTATGCATTATTATATAACTAAAAGAGAGATATGTTGTGCAAATTGAATATAGTATTATTAGATTTACATACATACCACTTTATTTCATGCAATTTACATATCTAATACCTAAAACTTTAATATTACATGTCTACCACTCCTAGAATAAATATGAGTGCATGAAATGAAATATTAAAGTTTATAGGATGGTATGGTTGGTAAGAATGAAATAAAGGAGTGATATATTTGATATTAAAATTTTATATTAGTAGGAATGTAATATTAAAGTTTTGAGTGTTAGATATATAAATAGCATGAAATAAAATAGTTTGTATGTAAATCCCCCTATTATGTATCATATCCAGCTATATATTATTATTTATGGCTTAGGATTTTTATGCATTGATTTTTTTTAAAATGTGTATACATTAATGCTTGAAGCTCGCTCTATATGTATTTAACTACATTTGAAAAAGAGATTAGAGAGAGAAAGAGAGCTGTATTGCACTTAAAAATATATAAAAATTGTTTGTATTATATCAAGCTATCTATTACTAATATTTTATTCTATACAAAACATTTTTTTTAATATTTTGTTCATAATAATATAAAGCAATGAAGTTGCTTTCATAATAAGCAATTTGCATGCTTAGAAGGGATTGGAAAGCTAAAGTGGTCCTTTGGATTGGAAGTCTCACTTTATAAGGCAATCAATTCATGAATTATAAAGATTTGACAACCCTTCTTTGGATCCTACAAAGCAAAATATAACCATATTCTTAAAGTTTACTACTTTCAATAATTGAGCCTATTTCAAATAAAAAATAAAATAAAAGTAATGCTCTTAAAAATAAAGGACTAATTATCATCACAATAATAAAATTTCAAAAATAGTACTAAAGTTTTTACTTAAGATCATATTTATTTTGTAAAATATTATAAAAAACAAATTTTCACGGGACATTAGTGAGTTAAGCTAACTCATGAACCAGCTCAATAAAGAGCTCTTGAGTCGAGCTCACGAAGCTAATGAACCAAACTTGCATTTGCCAACCTTAACTAACCTTGTTAGCTCGCAAACCATCTTATTTAATAAATATTAATATAAAATAAACTTAAAATTATTAGAATTCACAAGTTCAAATGTAAAACAAAACTACTAAAATAATTTTAAATTAGATTTCACTTTCTTATATAATGATTATTCTTTATTATTTATCTTTTAATTTCTCCCTTTTATAATTTTATTATAATAACTATTTAAATCATAATCATTCTCTCTTTTCTTATAAACGAACCGACTAATGACCCGACTCAAATTTATAAAATTAAACTCGAGCTCAATTAGTTAATCAAACTAGATAACTCGAGCTCAGCTCGACTTATTTACATATCTCTATACTTTACTATACTATAAATTTATTGAAAACTTCAATCCACATGCTCAATAATATTTTTATGAATTAAAATTTTTGTTTTAAATTAAAAAGAAATAACCCCTGCCACACAAAAATGAGTACTAGCAGTGACAAAAATATAGCTAAAATATATTTGTTGGTTTAATTTTCTTATAAAATATGTAACATTTTAATTAAATTCTGCTCACCAACCTTACCATTATCATAATACGTGGCAATACATGAACACGTGGCATACTCTTAAGCGTGTAGCAGTGGAGAAATTCAGCTTTGCTTTGAAAAAATTTTGCTAGAACAGTGCGACTTTTTGACTAATATTTATAGTCATAATTTATATCCTCCTTAAACAAAATTATTATTGTTGCGTCCTAGAATATTCGCGGCGGTAGAGAAATATATGGTTTAACGTCTTAGCATTGTACGAAGATCCAGCACACAAGCAGATAAGAGAGAGGGTGAAACATTCATAAGAGACACCAGAGTTTTTACGTGGAAAACCCCTGAAAAGGGAAAAAAACCACGGGGCCTGGCCCAGTTTGAATGAATCCACTAATATTTGCAGTCGATTACAAATGAGGCCCTTCCTTTGGAGAAGGTCTTGTATTGATGTAGCAAATATACATCATATATAT